AGTTAGTTGAGGTTCCTTCGGGATCCACGTAGTGGCTGTGGTTGAAACCTAAATCGCAGGAAGGGGGTGCTTGGTTAAAAGACTGATACACGGTGAAATATAATTTTCAAGATACGTTTCTGTTATCGCTCCCAGTTGCTAGGAGCGGTACAAACTACAGAGCATGACTGTGGATTAATAAAATGTTGGATTTGAGCTGATAATGCAAAGATTGATGAATGATGTTTTAGCAGGATGGAGGAGGAGTTGTGGTGTAAACCGCCACTGACCTTTCTATAATTTATCGGCAATTTTCCTTTCATGGTTGAGTATGTTGTAGTTTACTCTAAAACATGCTCAACTTATCACAGTGGGTCTTTGTGGCCACTGAAATGAGTCTTGTCTATTAAAATGATCCGTGTTTCGGACTACCAATTACGTCCCCTAGGTGCTGTTGCCGAATCAACAGTGACATCTCAGTAGTGTGGTTGAGCGACATATAAGGTTTTACCTTGTCGGGGTTAGATTGAGCTTGCTCATAACACCTGTTCTTCCTCATCGGGACTTCTATGGCAAGAGATTAGATAGCTCGAAAACTTGAGCAAAGTACTTGTACATGGCTTTAGCCATGTACAGAAATTGCCACCTGATTTCTTCAATGAAGAATGAAGGGGCGGTGGTGAGTCGTCACGAAACTCACCCAGTGGTTGAAAAAGACCACCGTGAGATAGGCCAACATGGCAGGTACTCACGTAAAGCACTTCGACTTCATTACACTTCTCACGAAGGTGAAGGGTATAATAAGGGTAATAGATATGTACATAGAAGCCCAAAAATAAAATAGTTTATCTCACAAAAATGTAAGAACAAAAAATATCAGCATTGAAAAAATTTAATTATTTTCACTTCTTCGGAAGTCATTAAACATACTTCAACAGAAAGTAAAAAATTCATTTATTCCCACTTTTGAAGTGGTGATAAATGTCATACTTTTGAAGTACGTCGCTTCATTTTTGCTGGGTTTGTCTGATTCTAAAGAAATTTCATGTAAAGAGGAAGAACCTCATTGGCCCACCAGGAGCTTAGTCAGGGATCCCCAAAACAGGACATCTCAGGAATGTTAAATTTTTAAAACTATCCTATATCTTCGCTTTAGTTCGGATATCTACTCCAGCTTTTTGACAACCCGATTTTCTCCTTTTTCTTTTATTAGACTAATATCAAATATATATATCAGATATCGAAATAATTGCTTAAAAGTGATGACTCGGTCCAAATTTATATGTAAATCGGGAAATTTTTGGTCCCATTGTTGTCAAAAAACTGTACTAGACTGGGTAAAATTTTTTAAAATTTAATCGAAAATTTCTTTTATTTTCACAAAATTTTAATATATTTTGTTGTTCAAATTTCATATAATTTTAATTAGAATCGGAAAAACCATTTACAAGTTACATAACACTGTGCAACAAGAAAATCTTTCCCGAATGAGACCAACGGGAAATCAAAGTAGACCATCAGTAGACTAAAATCCCCAAAGTGTTTAACTGTTAGAAATATGAATTTTGAACCTCGATAAAATCATAATCGTAACGAATTTGGAAATTTTGGAGAACTTAAAATTTTTGTATGTATGAATAGAATATGTGTACCGAATTTCATCAAAATCAGAGAGGATCATGCGCAAAATTTTTTGATATTACCTATGAGAAAATTTTACTGAAAAAAAGCTAAGTTTAAAATGCCTATAAATTAACAATACGAGCTATCTTTTTAAAACCCTTTGGGAAATTGGGTCTATTAATTGTCTACTTTCATTTCCCGTTGGTCTTGTTCGGGAAAGATTCGAAGACCCAGAATTTGTTGCATAGTGTAATTTATCTAACTAAAAACCAACTGTAAAGGAGGTGGCTATTTCATAGTTTTGAGTTGTGTGCCGGCACTAATTTTTAATTAGTTAGACTCGAAGGTCTACTTGTCAATTTTAAATCCAAATCCAGATGGATACTAAATCCATATGTAAAAATTAAATCAACATAATATTATATTAAGCACATTATTGGTGATATGAGAAGATCTTGTAATTTTTTGGGAATCCTAATATACATACATATATTATAAATATTGTTCTGTTTGTTTTTGGGGGTAAAATGGGTGAAAAACAGGAAAAAATTAGTACTTTTGAGAGTAAATACTAATTTCGTCTATACTTAAGCAAACCCATTTCCATCCTAAGATTATTTATGATAAACCAGTAATAGGGAACTATCAAGGACATCTGGGACTACCGATTCCTTAAAATTCCATAATGACCACAAATCCTCTCCAGAATTTCATGGCCACTTTTCAGGGATCCTAAGATTATTTGGGATAAACTAGTAATAGGGAACTATTAAGGACATCTGGGACTATCGATTCCATATATTGTGGTATCCCAGCCCCTTCTTAAAATTCCATAATGACCACAAATCCTCTCTAGAATTTCTTGACCAATTTTCAGGGCCACTTTTCAGGGATCCTAAGATTATTTGGGATAAACCAGTAATAGCGAACTATCAAGGACATTTGGGACTACCGATTCCATATATCGTGGTATCCCAGCCCCTCCTTAAAATTCCATAATGACCACAAATCCTCTCTAGAATTTCATGACCAATTTTCAGGGATCCTAAGATTATTTGGGATAAACTAGTTATAGAGAACTTTAAGGACATCTGGGACTACCGATTCCATATATCGTGGTATACCAGCCCCTCCTTAAAATTCCATAATGACCACTAATCCTCTCTAGAACTTTCTGGTCACAAACCATTTTTAATGCCAATATAGTAAATTTTTCTTTTTTCTTTATATTTGTATACCCACCATCAAAAAAGATGGGGGGTATATTGATTTTGTCATTCCGTTTGTAACACATCGAAATATTGGTCATAGACGCACAAAAGTATATATATTCTGGGTCCTCATTAAATTCTAAGACGATCTAGCCATGTCTGTCCGTCCGTCTGTCTGTCTGTTGAAAGCACGATAGAGTCCGAATGGAAAGAGGTAAATATTCTTATAGGTAAGAGGTAAATATTCTTATTTCTTATAGGTAAGGTTTGTTTGGTATTGAAAATGGGCAATATCGGTCCACGTTTTAGAATAGCCCCCATACAAGTGGCCCCTCGAAAAGCAGCTTTAACAGCCATAACTTGTTTAAAAATACGAATATAGCGATGAAATTCGACATAAGTTTCTTATGATCCAAAATCACTATGCAAAATTTTATGAGGATCGGTTCATAATTGACCCTATCCCCCATATAAAGTCCCCTTCAGAAAATGACTTTAACGCTCATTACTGGCTTAAAAATACTAGTATATAGATGAAATTCGACATAAGTAAGTTTCATACGAGTCAAAATCTATCTAAAAAAATTTATGAGGATCGGTCCATGATTGACCCTACCCCCCATATAAGGTCCCCTTTAGAAAATTACTTTAACGCTTATAACTGGCCTAAATATACGTGTATATAGATGAAATTCGACATAAGTAAGTTTCATTCGAGTCAAACGAGGTTTGATGGTGGGTATATAAGATTCGGCATAGCCGAATATAACACTCTTACTTGTTTTATTCTGAAAATATTTCAGAAATACTGGATATATGATTTTTTCAACAAATTAGAGCATTTTGACTGTTAATTGGTTAACAGTGCACTGTTAACTGCAAAAATAGCTATGTTAAAGAATTTGGTTTGCGTCTTTACTAGTTAAATTCGAATTTATCTTCACACTCTCACTTTCCGAAATATCTTGTAAAATAGAACATGATATATCATGTTCATCTTCATTTTGATTTAAAGTGGATAGCTAGGTCTGAAAAACTATCATTAACAGCGTTCACATTGCAAAAACTCTCACGTACACGAAATTACACCTCCACATATACGGGTCCTGTGTGAATTCAACACCCTGGGCCCAAATTATGGCATACGATATCGATCGAAATCTCAATAGAATCTAAATGGAGATTTCGATCGATATCGTATGCCGTGATTTGGGCCCTGCTGAGATATATTATTGTGTCAAAATGCTTAAAATTGTTACTTACATATTCGAATTAATAGCGGGTTTTACGCCAAATCTCGCCTAGTAATTAGTATTTTTTTAAATACTTTTAGAAAATTTGTTCTTTAAAATTTCGTTTATTTTGAGCAAACGAAAATTTTATTTATTATTTACATATATTTTTTGTTGTGGTAGAATTTTATTTTTCAAGCAGAGTTACATTTTTTTGTATTGAAAATTCAAACAAATAAAATTATATGAAATTTTATAAAACTCTGTATGTCTGGTAAAATTTTAAATGCTCAAATAGGTAGTTAGGTACTTTTTCACTAACACATGCTTAGAGTTAGGTATTGCTGTTAAGGCCGATCAGGCTTGTGTTTGTTGCCAAGCTTTCGACAGAGTTACGTCTCACTGGCACCAATTGAGTGTATTACTCCGTATAACTGTTTCCAAGTTATGCGTTGTTTGCATTAATTGCGTGCTTTCGTTTTACTTTCGTTGTTGGAATTAATTGGTGGAGAAAAAATAATACTTTTGATTAATTAATTGTTCGGGGCTCCAACTTCCTATATAAAGGTATAGGTCGATTGGCGGGCTCTCTCCGAACTAACGTGGGATAACCTGGCATAACATACACCGCCAACAAATTATAGAGTTAAAAAAAATATTTTCCTTAACAAATTTTCCAAAACAAATAGCTTGAACCAATGAAACATCGTTTTCTAATCATCGAATTAGCGGTTACATTATTCGAAATACTTGCATAAACAAATGATCGCCAATGACATGCATGCTTCAGCTAATTCGAACCAATTCACCACTGGCACCTCTGATTTAACTACATCTTCGTCATTTGGCTTTTACCTTAATTACTCAAGTACTTTTTGTCAGGCTCCTTAAAAATATAATGCATAACTATTAAACTTTTTATTTACATATGAATTTTTATTATTTTCTATTTCAGTCCGAGACATCTGGAGATTACAAGCGTGCATTGACTGCATTAATGGGCGGAGCTTAATCGGAATACAGCGAATTTTACAATTATTAATGTTTTTTTTTATATATATAATTATTAATTCTGAGATGTATGTACATTGGGGATATAACTATTGGCATTTTTTGCAAATATGGGAATTGGCATATCATAGTCAAATAGAGCATTAAAAAATATGAAAAATCACATTTTTTTTCGCGGTTGTTAAAAAAAAGTTAACGAACCAAACACAATAAACTTTTTCTTTACATATTTTCAATTATTTTGGAAAAATACATTTTATTTCTTTATTAAGTTGTTTTATAATTAATAATAACTGGGGACATACTTCAAAAAATAATTTCAAATATGGGAAGTATCCCTCACACTTGCAAAAAAAAGTTGCAATTATTTATATAATGATTGATTCATCGTCGCTTAGCCCAAACCGTTAAAGCCAGAATCACGAATTTTTGGTACTAGATTTCCTTGGCATTGTATAGATCCACTGAGAAAGGATTTTTGGAAACTCTAACGTTTAGGGGATGAAATGGGTAAAAAGTGTTAAAAGTTGGTTTATTTCAAAAATTGGTGTTTGTGCGTGATGTTTTTGATTCCAAATGACCCAAAAAAAAAAATAAATAATAGTCGTTACTTATACAACATTGGCCATCACGTGGTGGTATGCCAAAAATTTCGCAATAATTAGTTATAACCCTGATGTACATATGTATATGTATGTATATTCATACATATTTATATTAGCATAGATGCATGTTATATTTTGTTTTAAGTAGTATAAAAATGTATAGATTTAATACAAAATGAATTTTTAAAATAAAATTAAAAATCAATTGTGTGTATTTATTGAAATAATAATAACGCACTAACTGTGTATATTTAAAACTTTCTGCATAAAATTTGTTTAGTCATAAAGAATCTATAATAAAAAGTAACTGTTTTGCAGTTATTTTTTGCGAACACAACCGTATGAACATCCTATTTGAAATATAATTTATAAGCTTCTTTTTCTTTTATGGGCATGTGCTGTTCTATTTCATTTGGTATTGTAAAGTATGGAGGTGGAACCTAAAATTGTAGATATTTGTAATAAATTTACATCGTAAAATGCTTATTATAAATATTTTAACTTACATTTTTTAATTCCTCATATGTAGCAGCACGCTTAGTAAATTCCTTAAAAATGTAGTTATTTTCAATTTCGTAATGAAACCTTGTATCATGAATTTTAAGGAGAACATTATCAACACGCAGAAAATTTCTCAGCAAAATGAAAAACCCTGATGGCATAACTCTCTAGAAATTAAGAAATATAAGTTCAGTTTCATTAAGTAACAGTTTTTACTTACAATTTTAACAGAGCAAGATGAGATACCATTGTCGTGAAGTTCATCTTCAAATAACGTTAGATCGTGATAAAACAATATTTTTTCTCTCTGCATTAATTTAAATTTGTTCAACTGCTGGTCAGTTTTTTCAACACGAAATTTATCATTTGCTGTTCCTTGATAGTCAGTGGTAAAAGTCCAATCAAATGGCTTAAATTTTTCCTCCATAAGACTTTCAGGTCTATAAAATGAAATAAATATGTTATATTTAGAATTATGCACAGAAAAAAGTTTCAGCATAAATATTATGAACTGCTTTCATTGACTAAAGTTAATAATATTTAAGAATAAGTTCCTAAATTGTATGAATTTTTTCATTTTTATATTTTTAAACATAATCTAGAAGCCTTGACTTAAAATATTAAAAATTTTCTTTATATTTTTCTGTTTGTTAAAAAATGTTTGAAATTTTCTTTAGAAAATTTTTTATTTCTTTATGATTTTTAGATTGAAAACAATGAAATATGCGCGTAACTTGCAGCATTTTCTGAAGAATGGATGTTTAGCTATATGCTGGTTTTTTTATTTCATATTTTGTTTTCCAGCATTTTTATTTATTTATCATAAAAATACGCTAATATGTGATTATTTTCTAAAAAATGGAAGATATTAATAGGTAACGGTTATTTATTTATTGAATTTTTGATGAAAATCAAAGAAAATGAACAAAAAAACAAAAAAATCTTTCATGTACAAATTCATACATTTTATGAACTTTTAATATTCTGAATGAAAATGGTTTGGGAAAAAAAAGTCATGTTCGATTCATTCAATTTATTTCAAAATTCATTCCAAATATGAATTATTTTTTTCTGTGTGTTTCTATTAAAAAACTATAAAGGTATTCAGGTTAGTTTTTTTCCTGTGTGAAATTTTTCACAAAAGTAACTCTCAATGACAGGGTTACACATCATTGAAAGAATTTTTCTCCTTTGAAAAAAGTACCAAATATTAGAGGTTTTCATTCTTTGTAGTAAATATATCCCAGCAAATTTTGATGTTATTCAAGAAGGGGGAATATTTTCACGATTTTTTTAGTACGTATTCAATTACAGCAAAAAATAATTGATGTCATACTTTACAAACGACATCTTAATCACATCTAAAAATGCGATTACATATTTTTCTTTTATAAACCAAATATTTCCATACAACTGAAAACCTAATTAAAAGTGTGGAAAGCGATGTAGAAAAGTCACTCAAATAACATATTCGAAGTACATCAAACTTTGGTGAAAAACCAATAAAATTTATGTAAGCACCCAGAAAAAAAAGTGTGGAAAAAGATGTAGTATTTTCATCACAACTAGTAACCGTCTCATTGGAGGGATGTTGTTCATTTTTTGGCAATTTTGAACTACATCTAATCTTATTTTTAGAAGTAGTAAAAAAACTTCGAATATGTTATTTATTGTGACTTTTCTACTTCTCTTTCCTCACTTTTAACTGTGTTTTCATTTGTAAGGATATGTTTGATTTATAAAAGCGAAAAATATGTAATAGCATTTTTAGATGTGATTAAGATGTCCGTTGTAAACTATGACATCACCCATCACTTTTCTCTTTTATAGACCAAACATATCCTTACGAATGAAAACACAGTTAAAAATAAGGAAGGAGATGTAGAAAAGTCACTACAAACAACATATTCGAAGTACTTCAAATTTTGATGAAAAACCAATGAAATTTACATAAGCGTTTCATTGAAACAATGTGGTTTATTTTTGACATACAAATATCAGATTTTTACAGCTTCTAAAGATAAGATTAGATGTAGTTCAAAGTTGTCAAAAATGAACAACATACCTCAAATGACACGCTAATGTAAAATTCATAGGTTTTTCACCTGAATTTGAAGCAATTCGGGTTACTAGTTGTGATGAAAATTCTACATCTTTTTCCACACTTTTTTTTTTCTGGGCAATTATTTTTTTGCTGGGAACTAGTAACCGGAATTACTTCAAATTCGGGTGAAAAACCTACGAATTTTACATTAACATGTCATTGGAGGGATTTGACAACTTTGAACTACATCTAATCTTATTATTAGAATCAGTAAAAATCCTATATTTGGATGTCAGAAATAAACCACATTCTTTTAAGACACGCTTATGTAAAATTCAGAGGTTTCTCACCAAAATTGGAAGTACTTCAAGTATGTTATTTGTGGTGAAAATTCTACTTCTTTTTTCTCAATTTTTTTGCTGGGATTTAATGCGTTTTAAATAGATTCCCATATTCTAATAAATTTGTCATAAGAGAACTCAAGGAAAATTGCATCCAATTTACTCATGTAACTCTACTATATTAATTATAATATTTCACTGTAATTTGGTATTCTCTTAGGATTTAATGAAACGTGAATTTTATATAAATAACCCAGCAAAAAATAATTGATGTCATACTTTACAAACGACACTTAAATGTGATGTAGATAACATATTCGAAGTACATCAAGTTTTGGTTAAAAACCAAAGAAATTTACAAAAGCGTGTCATTGAAAAATTTTGGTTTATTTTTGACATCCAAATATCGGATTTTTACTGCTTCTAAAAATAAGATTAGATGTAGTTCAAAGTTGTCAAAAATTAACAACATCCCTCCAATGACACACTAATGTAAAATTCAAAAGTTTTCACCTGAATTCGAAGCACTTCGGGTTAATATTTAAATTTTAAAAATAATCTATAATTTATTAGATTTATGTATTTAATATTTATTGAAATTAGTTGATGTGTCGTTTCTACATAACTTATGAGTAGTTTGAGTTAAAATTTTACTTGTATTTTGTTTTTGGTACAATAACAAAATACAAGTAAAATTTAGAAGAAAAATTGGGAAGGTGTCGATTAAAAAGACTGCCATTATTATACCATATAAGGACACCGCAGCGTCATCAATAATACCCACTTCCTTATCATGAAAAAAAAAGGAACTGAATGAATTATTTTTCAGTGTTCAGAAAGTAATGTGTTCCTGAACTTAATTCCTAAGAATCTTCCAATCAGTGTTAGTCAGGAATGTTATTTCCGGAATAACATCACTTCCAAGATACTTGGATCTAACTTCGACGAATGCTTGGCAGTGGCAAAGAAAGTGCTCCAGAGTTTCACTGTCCTCTCCACATGCTCTATATTCGTCTGAATCCGCACGTCCAATTTTGCATAGATGTGCTCGTAATCCTGTGTGTCCACTCAGAATACTTACCATCATACTAACTTCAGACCTGCTCATTTTGAGGAGATTTTTCGTCTTGCTCTCATCAGGGTCACCCCATAGGATCTTCGTGGTTCTACCCACTGTTTCATTATTCCAAGAGGCCTTATGGGATTCTCTCACCCATATTTTTAGTTCAGCTTTTGTTGCGTCGAATGGTTTTGCGTTTGTCAGGTTAACGGCTTCGAGCTCCCTTCCCTTTAAAGCTATTACATTCGCCCTTTCGTTACCGACTACTCCCGAGTGGGCTGGTACCCATATGATGTGAAACTTACCTCTAGGAGAGTATTCAGTTAAAGCTTTCTTACAATCCAATACGGTCTTAGATTTAGTTCTATCTCCCTAATTGCCTTCTGGATGTCGGTAAATACATTAAGCGCTGTGGGCGCCATATTTATTCTAATCAAATTTACGCATTCCGTTATTGCTCGTACTTCTGCCTGGAAGCTTGTGATTTGGTAAACGGTGGTATATTTCTGTTTCTGGGTCTTCAATATATGTTCCGCTTGACCAAGACATTCTATCTGGGATCAGCGTTTCAAGGTTTCCGACATACTATGTGTCTGGTATACGATCAGGCACGTCCGATGATTGTGTATAACCTTCCAGTACACATTGATGACGTGTCCTATAACCGCTTTTGGCCAGTTCGCCTAAAGTAAAGAGCCGTTCGGCTGTAAGCGCCGCCTCATATCTTAAATATGTTTCAATGGGTAGAATATCTAGCAACGTTTCCAGAGCCTTGGTTGAAGTAGTACACATGGCACCACTTATACCCAAGCAGCATGTACGCTGAAGAATTGGTCTAATTACACTTTTATAAAGCCAATTTGTCATAGTAGGACTAAGACACCATTTCATGCCTATAGTTCTCCTACATATCGCCCAGCACCGATGTGCCTTGTTGATCCTATCCTCTATGTGGTGTCTCCATTTTAATTTCCGGTCGAGGATTACACCTAAGTACTTAACTTTGTCTGTCACTGGTATCTTCTTGCCCAGGAAGCAAGGTTCAGTCTACGTAGAAATTTTTGTCTGTTTTTGCCGGGTTAACATTTAGGCCTACGGTTGAGCCCAATTCAAGACCGTATTCAGAGCCTCTTCAGCCCTTCTACACAAGTAATTTGGATCCTTTCCCTTTAAAAGTATTACGACTTCGTTTGCATAGCAGTCAAGTCTAAGTCCTTTCTCGGTTAGGGTCATTAGGAGGTTATTAATCGTGGTAACCCAGAGTAAAGGTGACAAAATGCCACCCTGTGGTATACCGCGAAATACCTTTTTCCTGATAGTTATATCATACATCTCGCAGATTATCCATCTGTTCCTTAGCATGTGGTTGATCCAGTTACGGAGCACCCGGCCAACATAAAACTGGTCTAGGGATTGGATAAGAGTATCAGTGTGCACGTTATTGAAGGCGCCTTCGATGTCAATGCATACCGCCAGTGTATATAGTTTGCTATCAAAGGATGCTCCTATGTAGTGGACAACTTCGTTTAAAGCGGTTTCCACCGATCGTCCCTTTACATAAGCATGCTGCTTAAATTTTAGGTCTTTGTCGGGAAAAGTGCTTTTAAGCATACTATCAACTATCCATTCCAAGGTTTTAAGTAGGAAGGACGTAAGACTTATCGGTCGATAAGACTTATGTGTCGAATAGCTAGGTTTCCCTGGTTTGGGTATAAATATTACCCTTGCAGACTGCCATTTAACTGGGGTATATGTGAATTTCAAGCATGCAGTGAATATCTGAGACAGATGTACGGAAACCAGTCCAGCCTCCATCTGAAAGATTGCCGGGAAAATGCCATCCGGCCCTGCAGCTTTATAGGGAGCGAAGCTCTTGATTGTTCTGGATCTCCCCGGTTACCCGGGGTTCTCCTGGGCAGATCTCCGCTCTCGCATAGGGCAGCTGTCCTCGGACGATTCAACCAAGGCACTTGTGAGCATTTCTACTTTGGCATC